TAGATTAAGCCTGGCACTGTGTAGCTCTATAGCAGAAAGCAGGACCGCCCCACCATCCCACACTTGAGCACAAAAATACTTTTTTATCTCCAAATTGCACCAAACTGCAGCTTCTGAAATGTATCTGATGTAAAAATGTATTATATTTTACATGTTTACAACATAAATATATTACTCTGTTTAGCAGAATGCACAATTTTGTAAGGGGAGATAAATGTGCCAGGGCAAGATTAGAGATTAAATCCTTGGGATGTTTTGTTGAACTCCCTTTATCGCATGACTTCTGTCCCGAGACTCCCATTTTCTGTACTGCAGGAGAAGTGACAAAAAAAGTTATATTCACAGCACAGGTTTTTTTGTGGTCCATTAACTTGTAAATGGTGAGGAAGAAGGGGGCATAAGGGGACGGGAAGAGGAATGCTTCTGGGTTTACGCCTACAAGTGAGAAGCCAGCCTCTCTCCCCACAACGTCTTAATGTTTACAGCATTAGAACAAAGTCAATGTTTCCACTGCAGACCTTATTGTATAGATTCAAAAGTTTAATTAAACAGGAGCAAAGAGACCTCGCTGCCATTCCCAGGGAACCATTTTCGAGTGCACAGTTTTGGTGCCCAAGGTTCACATTGAGTGCAACTACAACTCTAAAGGGAGGCAATCAAGACGGCTGTTCCATGATTTTCCTTGACTATTGATTTGTGTTTTTCAATAAGCCTGAACTTCAAAAACTTACAAAAACGAAATGAGAAACCAAACTTGTGTAGCAACGAGTCCCCGAGGCAGCCGGCAATATTGTCTAGAACGGTGTAAAAGCTCCATGAATTTCTCGAAGCATATAGAAACCGTCTCTCCGGTTCTTGGATTAATAAAAAAAGCTTCTTGACTATTCACCACAGCGGTTCCTCCCAGAGTACCTGTTAATCACGATGACTATAATCTTGACATTAACTTACATTTCTGGGCAATAAAACCAGAAGGCCCAGAGAGTGGTTTTTATTATTTTGCTCACAGCAGACACCATGCCTGATTACGAATTCCAATGTACTCCTGGGATTCACACTTCTGAACAGAAAAGGTCCGACTCTACTCCTCGGAGACTGTCACAAGTTGTGCTATCTCAATTGTTTCCTGTCACTTTTTTTTTTCTTTTTCTTCCGGAGGCCTAAGACTGGCAGCGATTTCCTTGCATTGATTCATCAACATAGTTAATTGGGCAGACTGGAGAGAAGACACACAAGCAATCCCCACGGTACAGTATCTGTACATCCGTCAGTCTCAACTTGTTGATTCTGGCCCCCGAGGGCTGGAGTCAGAGCTCCCACATTGTAACGGAGGGAGATCAGAAACCTTGCTGTCGGCTAAAAATAACTGCTGCAAATAATGAATACATACTGTTGACACGAAGGAAGTGTGTTAACTCGGGAAGAGGAGCAAGGCTTGGCCACCGTGGACTGTTCAAAGTGAAATGTGTTATATTCTGTGCCTTTACACAAACAGAGCAGTCTGTTTGGAGAACAAGTCAATGAAAGAGGAAGCTTATAGACTTACATAAAAAGCATAAAGAACACTGGACTGCTGGACAGAAATGAGTAATGTTCTTGCTAAGTGTAAATTATGGCAATGGGGCGCAGTGTGCTTATGAATAAGCGAGCTAATGTTATTCCTTACATCTAAAGAAAGGCCTTTAGGGTGTATGCAGGTAGCCTTGGCTCAATTTCCCCTGTTCTTCCAAATGAAGCCATTACTTTTTAAAAGCTCCTACCCCTGCATAGCCCGTGGTACTAATCTAAAACTAATTGATTGGTGATTCCTTGGACCTAACGCGGAGGGGGGCTGCCAGTGGAATTTGAACAAAAGGTTTAAATAGAACACTAGACCCTTTATAAAAACAAAACAAAAAAATGGACGCTATCCAACTGAGCGCCTGAGGGAATTTGCACTGTGTTTTTGTGCGGTCCGACTTGCCCAAATTAAGTTCTATTGATCAGATTGCAAAGTAAATGACATGCCTTTGACGTCCCATTGTGAATGCTAGTGGGTCTATTGGACTGGTTGCCACCGATGACACAGAAAGGTCAGAGGTAAAGCTGTTACTCAATATGAAACACAATGAAGTATCAAAAGCAAAAACCGTAAACAGATGGGAGAATAGAAGCTGACTCTTTCATTATTGCGTAATTAAACTGCGGTAAGTGATAAACATGTTTTCTCATATACCCCTCAAGGTATCTGTCTGGTCGGACAGTCCTCTAGCAGTGAAATATTATAATTAAACAGAGTGTAACGTGTAGATTAAAAGTTCAATAAGGCTAACTCCTTATGAACATGAAGACAGTCTTCCTCTGTTGCTCGCAACAGATTTATTTCCTGCTGGCTGACCTTTTGAATGGAGCCCATTCTGCAGACAGAAATCTTTATAGGTCAAAGAGTAAATGCCACCCACCGCTCTTATTTTCCCCATCAAACTCACACCTCGAACAGCGGGTGAATTCAAGCCCTGTCAAAATGATGATATCAGGGCTAACCCAGTGGAAAATCAAATAGAAATTCATGCCTTCCGGGCCTTACAGACTGACCAGTCCTGAACAATCAGACTCAAAAGAGAAAGAATAATGCCCGGGAGGATAGATCCCAGACTAGCTCACCTTGACCTGCACAGTCATGGTAAAGTGTAAATCTGATTTGAGTTTTTCAGACCATTTGTTTGAAGACCATTCCTGGCAGCCAGAGTTAGAGGAAACAGAGAGAGGTGGTAAAGCATCAAATGAGGGAGGTAGGGACGGAAAGAAAGACAGGCAAACAAAGGCAGCTGTCATTAATTTCAATCAGGCTCCCAGTCTGGCAGAGTTAATAATATCAGCACGCTCTTCTGACCTCAGACAATGGTGCAACATCAACCTCTGCAAATTACTCATTAATTTACCCCATTAGGTTGGACAGAGGTGGTGGGAAGAGAGAAAAAAAAAGAAAATAAAAACGGATTGGAATGAATTAATTTTACATTTTAAAACGGAATTCATAACTTTTCAATTGAGATGCAACACAGCAGAGACCGAGAGGTCAGGCTGAGGATAGGAAGAGTGGGCAGAAAAATAAATAAAAGATCATCTTAAAATAATATTTTGACAGAGTGGATGTGGGTGAAGATAATTCATATGGAAGAAAAACAATTGTTTTGAATAAAAAATTATAAAGTTAGAATTATCAGCATTTGTGTTGAACAGGATGCTTTGCACAGTGATGAAAGTGAGAAAACATCTGCATCATCTCTTGTTTGGTCCGCAATAGTACCAAGCCTTGCTCCTGTTCATCATGTGTAAAAATTTGAACACCCATAAATTTAAACCCTAATCCTAAACAACAATTACACCGAATGATACCAAGACAGTTGCTTTCTGTTGTTTCTTATGCTCTGTTTATCCGTATTGGAAACGTAAAGCAAATATAATAGAAACCTTTAAAATCATTCCTCCCAAGGGCACTTTGGTCCATAGCAAGCTAAACCAGCTACCACCCAGAGCACAACAGGGTCATATACACTGAGTGGGGAGTCATCCAGTCTGAGGCAGAACATATCCACGGGGCTCTCACTCCGCTTACCGTTCATTATATCTCACTGTGTACTGCAGGGAGCATTTGACATTTTTCTTTTAGTTTCTATGCAGCCTCGCCTTGAGCTGATACATCTACAGCTGAAAACACACTACCTTATCTCGTCTCCTTAACACCGGCAGGTTTAAAATGAGATGCAGCTACAGCAAACCTCTAACCTACTCTCAATCTGCCTCTATTCCTAAATGTGATTACCGGGTTCTTTAATATAAGAGCTAACACCTGTCTTGCCAACCTGCATAACCCACCCTAATGTAATTTCAGCATGAGTCACACTATTGAAATGTAAATTTTCCAACTCGTAGCTTCCCTTATCAAAAGAAATATGCTACACCTGTAAATAAAAAATGGGCTACAGGACAAAAATGCCTGCAGGTCTTAAAAGGGTTGACTTCACACTATCTAGATAGACAGGCAGGCTTGGAAAAACCACACATCCACATGAGTGCACACACACACACGCACACACACACACCTTCGTCACTGGGTTATTACCTATTAGCTATCCACTTTGCTTCCATGAAGGAGCCTGAGAATAAAGAACACCTCAGCAACAACCCAGCCCTACTCTCCCGCCCACATGTAATCATTCACATCAGCATGCACAAACTGTATTTACATGTCCACACACCACTGAACATATGTAGTTAGGCGTTTCAAATCAATAAGCATGCTCAACACACAGCCTCCCCGACCTACTCTTACAATGGCTAATTGCCAGAAAGAACAATTAGTCTGATAAGTATCACTTAATGTCTTCCCCCAAAGAGGGGGATTCAGGCTATTCTAAAACAAACGCACCTAATTCCTCATCCTGCTCCCTCATTACCACCCTAAATGATGCTTCTATAGGAGAGCAGGTGCTGGCGGTGCTATGGAATGATTGTTTCGTGAATGGTGGTTTGATGGGATTAGAGAAAAGATGGACAGGACTTAAGTCTTGAAGGGTCCTGTTTCTGGTGAGATAGCTGAGCTACACTGTGCCAATAATGAGGTAGAAGACACTTGCTTGTCACCACCTTCGCTTTGCTCATTAGAGGGGAGTCAATGGGTCTGTGAAGCCTGCGAGGACCAAAGTGCCCAGTATGAGGCAGTCTGGTGAACAGCTTGATTCTTGTTTATTATCACTAAGTATTGTGGTGAAAAAAGCCAACCCTGGAAACAACCTCTTAAAATGTCAATGAATTGTCACATAATCAATTTTTAAAAATCACCCAGAGAGAATACCTCTTCAACTGTGGATCCAGCGGCTGAATGACCCATGTCACTAGAACTCTCTGAGGAAACATCATGATACTGTCTTGCTACATTAACATCTATCCCCTTATTAGTCTGCTGTTGGCATTCACCCCACAATCTCCCTTAGGGCATTGGATTTTGATTCTTCAGCTCACAGCTTCTGCTGGGCAGAGACACCCTTCCAGTAGTCCAAAATATCATGAAGGTCCTCGTCCTTGGCAAACTGCACCTTCTTACGCAGGGCATGGCCTGCTGCTATATAGGATGCTTCCTCTCTGGGGCTTTTCTTGTAAGGTCGGAATCGCTCCCAGATTCGCAGTGTGCTCTCAGATGAGTACTCTGGACTGGAGGAGTAACCAGAGTTGTAGTTGTGGTGACGAGAAGGTGAGAGCTGGGAGTAGGTGGCTGTGGCATCCCTCTTGGTGCGCCCCAGTGGCTTGAGAAATGAGGCCTTTTGGGCCGGTGAAGGTGATTCATTGCCGCCTTCATAATAGAGTGCGGGGAAGGAGTGGCGGTGCTCAGAGCTGTGGTAGTCTGGCTGAACCTCCAAGTGGTGCTGCTGCTGCTGCTGTCCAGGGCCAACCACTCCTCCTCCACCTCCACTCCCGTTATTACACCCCATTCCGCCCCCATTCAAACTCACACCACCACCATTTATGTTTCCCATTCCATTCCCGTTGCAGCCTCCTACTCCACCACCTCCTCCACTTCCAACCCCTCCACCACAACCTGCAGGGCTGCTCTTTTCAGTTGGGTACTTGGGAGGATCACTGCGCTGCTCAGGGATATCCACACTGTACACTCTTGTGTTCTTGACAGATCCTGCAGCGGGGGCACCACAACGGTTTTTCACCACAGCAGTGTCAGCACTCAGCTGCCTCTGAAGGGGCCGCACTGCATTTGCTGGGGGTGGGTCACGATAAGGAGGGGAGAGAAATCCACCACCACTGATGCCAGGCCGCTCAGACAAGGGCATGACCAGGGGCACCGGCGCCATAGAGGGTGGATGAGGCTGTTGATGTAGCTGTGGATGAGGCTGAGGATGTGACTGAGGATGTGACTGGGGATGTGACTGGGGATGTGCCTGAGGATGTGGCTGAGGATGGGGCTGAGGATGGGGCTGAGGCTGAGGGTGAGGCTGAGGGTGAGGCTGAGGGTGAGACTTTGGATGCACCTTTGGAGAGGAGGCCATGATCTGATCTCCAGGGTGGCCTGGGGAGAGGGGCAGGAGGTTGCGAGGAAGGGACGCGATACAAGGAGGCTGGGCAGTGGACAAAGAGTTGGCATTGTCAACTGTGGTCACGACATTAGCTGATGCATCTAGCTTCAGGGCATCAATGCAGTTGTTGATGATCTGGTTCACCTTGTCCACCTCCTTGGCAATGGTAGAGATCTCTGATGCTGAGCCACGGCCATCGTCATCTGAATCCTCCCCGGCCTCTGTCCCATTCTCAGCCCCACCTCGCATATCCACAACTACTTCCCCTCCAACCACTGTTCCTCCAGCTGTCACCACTCCCTCCCTGCCTTCTCCTGCCACTCCTGTCGTCCTCACATCCATGTAGTTGCCCTTGCCGCCCATTGCCTCAGAGAAGGCAGTGGCCATTTTTTCCACTTGTGGCAACGTAGAGAGGCGAGACGAGCTGGTGTTGGCTGAGCCATGGAGCATGCCTGTGCTAGAGGAGGCAGATTGTGGCAGCTTGCCTCCTGCTCCTGAATGGTGGTGCTGGTGGTGAGCCTGCTCCTGGAGACGCTGCATGGCACCTGGGTCATTAGCTACTGCTGCAGCCGCCTCTGGGCCATACCTAAAGAGGGAAAGATTCACTTTAGAATGCACAGCACACCTTGGTTTATTATCTGATGTGATATTGTGTACTTTTTTTAAAAGTTGGTTTTGCTATATCCCCTTAGTGATCCCATAAGGAAACAGAAGCAGTTTTAATTAAAGCCCCAAAAAGTTGGAAAAATCGCTTGGCCCAAAGCTTCAATAAAGAGTATCATTGAGATTTTTTTTGTTAGATTATAGCTTGTAGTTACAATAAATTAAAATTTTCACATCAAATTCACATGAAAACAAAGCAGTGTGGCAAAACAAATAAAACAGCTAATTGACTAACTGAAGTCGATAACAACAATTGTTCCAAAGACATCAATTACTCCCAAAAGACACATGTAGTAGCCTGTCATTTCTGTTGTGGATAAACCACTACAGATGCATAGGAAAAGTTTGTAATAAGGGCACCTAAGATTTTCCTTAACAAACATTTAAAACTATTTGTACCTCATCTCCAGAATGGTTTTCTTCACACTTATAGCTTTTTCCTTTTCCTCCTGGATACGTCGCCGCCTGAGACAGTAATAGACAAATCCAAGCACAATGACCATGCCAAACAGACATCCTAGGATGGTCATGATGTAGTGGGTAGTTGTGGATGGGTTGGTACGCTGGTCCTCTGGCCCCATAGCTCGTGTGGTAAAAGACAGACAGGTATGGTTGTAGCGCTGAGATTTGCTCGCAGAAGCCACACAGAAAGTGTAGTTGGTGTGTGGTTTCAGCTTGTCCAAAGTTATGGTCTCACTCTTTTTTTTGAGGGGCATGATGTCGGCAACATAAGTGTGGTTGTACTGGGAGAGGATGTACATCTTACTGTAGGGTTTAGGGATCTGCACCTTTAGAGAAGCAGTGTAGAAGGAGACCGTTTGAAGATTCATAGAAATCTGATGGTTATAGTTGGGGTCAGCAGTGGATGATATCGTTGGCTGGTGATACAGACCTTGATCTGGGTTGTCCAAACCCATCCCTGAGCCATCTTGATCTGGCATCTGGGAGGTCATCCCTGGAATTATCACACCATCACGACAGACAGAAAAAAGAATGTAACGAGCATTTCTTCCATGTCCAGGCACTTGGCTCAAGAGTGGGTAACCAGTCATTTCTGTAGGGGTTTCACACTGGAGGCGGTCGTAGGTGTGGGTGACATTATTAAACTCCTCCAGCCAGGTCAGAAAACTATAGAGGTCACAGCCACAGTGGAACGGGTTTCCTGCCAGTTCACATACCATCAGTCTGCTGAGGACAGTGAAGGTAGACGGGTCAAGACGGGCTAACTTATTGGAAGATAAGTCCAGGCTGCTGAGGTTGGGGCACTCCCAGAAGGCATTGGTGGCAATGACCTCAATGAGGTTGTGTTGCAAGAAGAGGCACTGCATTCGACCCAGTCCTCTCAACATGCCCTCAGTCAGGTTGGTCAGCTTGTTGTAGCCCAGCTGGAGAACCTGACACAGAAATGGAAAAACCCCCATTAAATTTTAATAGAACAGGAAGTACACTGACTGTTAATGGTTTGGGAGACCTGTTTTGTCCCAGTGATTTCAGAATATAAACCTAGGACATGTATCCGTGTTTCAAAACTTTGTAGCTCGTTATAATAACCAAAATTTAAATATTCAGTATTTTCACCAAACTCAATAATAATAAATATGAAAATCAACACAGCACAGGACAACTAAATTACACAGTACAGGGTTTGGGAGATGCTTTTTCCATGAAAACTTCTTTTAGCACGGCACCCTAAATGCAATTTATATCAAAAAGGCTGCACTCATTTTTGAAACATGCTTGTATGAATGAATGAGCACAATTAAAAAAATAAAAATAAAAATAATAATAATAATGTTTGTGTGTGTTTCACAAGATGTTTATAACAACAATATCACAGAAATTTAACACAGCCAGAAAATAATTTGTCCAAAAGTCTCATGGAGAGAAATATTGGAAACGGGGATGAACTCGTCTAAACTCTTAAGAGCCTTTTGTTAGTTTTCTTGTAGATTTCTCCAGTATAGAAATTCTGAAAAATAGAACAAGTAAAGGTAAAGAAAACAAAGAAAACCACAAAAACAGGTTTCTGTTCTTGGTAGCAGACCTGTAGGTTGGCCTGCCCAGCAAAGGCCCCATCCTCGATGTAGCTGATCTCGTTCTTGGTGAGATTGAGGTCAGTGAGGTTTGTGAAGCGGTACATGGAGATAAAGAGCACTGCCTTAAGTTTGTTCTCATTCAGCCTCAGGTCATGAACCTAGGGGGAGACGAGAGAGCAGATGACATTCAGGTGATGCAGTGCAGCCTCTGGCAGCCAGAGAGTAAGACCTAAACTTCTGGCCAAAAATAGCTGCCAAGAGCATATTGCACCTCCCAAATTAGAAGTTTGCTGTCTAATGAGTAATTTCCCCAATTATACATTTGATCTAAATTTGCATTTGGTTAATCACAGCATGTTTGCAAGCAGCTGTACATTCCTCCCGAGGTATCTAGCAGAGGCAAATGTTAGGACGAGGAGTGGAATGGAGGTGCATAACATTACCATTGGGTGCCTTGATTAAATGTGTTTCGATCAAGTTTTCTTGTTTCAATCATTTACATTGCAAATTGCAGATGGTTATGTTAACTGAAATACTTTTAGTTTAAAAAGTCAGTAATTTATTTGGAGGGTGACATTTAGCCCCAAGGTTCTTCTTTTCCAATTCAATTGCTCTTTTATATCCGCAGGTTGGTTGATGCGTCTGTCCTGTCGCACCAGCTTAACCGACCTAACGTGTTTATTTTAATTATGTGGTTTAATAACAACATCACATCAATTAGCCAACATGCTGGAATTGTCTTTAGCACAAAAACATAATCTCGTGACTTGACTAAGAATGCACCATGTATGTTTTTAGTTTGTAAAAATGATTACATCACATGCACTGCCGTAATTGTCACAGTTACCAATGCCACCAACACACAATCACAACCTGCACTAAGAATAATCTACAATACACCATAAGCATTACACTGAGTCATGATTAAACTCCCCCTGCTCCAACTGATGACACGTGCTTTTCAGCTGACACTGTCACAGCTCCGGATGCAAAGAGGAATGTAGTTTAATAGAGGTGTCTGTGGTGGTATAAAAGGTCTAGTCATAGATAGGCTCATACTGACCGTGCTGTTGATGTGCTGGGGGATGGTCTCATATGGAGGCTGGTTCTGACTGCAGATAGCCAGCCAAACGTAGCCTTTATCCCCCTCTATCAGCCAGCAGTCCCCTTTCACCGAACCGGGCAGGCGGAGGAGCAACAGAGCAGGAAGCAGGAGGGAGAGACACAGGGAGGGAGACAGGGAGGACAAACGGAGTCTGCTGGCCATGGTTTAGGATTAGGAGGGTCCCTCAGTGGAAAAAAAAAGGAGGAAAGAGAAGAGGAGTCGAAGGGAGGAAGGTAGAGAGCAGCAGCAGTTCAAATTCAACGCTGGAAGGTGCTGCAGGTCAGCAGGCCAAATCTAAGTAGAGAGAGAAAGGTGAACGGAAGGGCTTCTTCTCGGTAATTAGAGTTGAGCTTGCAGCATGGCAGCAAGTCCTGTCCCCATTTTAGGTGTTCCACGTCGAATGAGTTTGGAGACTGTCGCCCCAGCAGCTACTCATGGCCCCCGACGATCGGACGTCTTCGCAACGCAGACGAGGAAGTGCTCCGTCTCAGAGAACGCCTATAGAACACAGACAGAGACAGAGAGGAAGGCGGGGGGGGAGCATTAACATTAATAGCTATAATGACAAAATGATTAAGAGTAGGCAGAAAATTGTAATACAGTTCACATATCCCCAGATGGTTTGGAATTAATTGAGCGTCGGTCTCGTTTCTAAAAGCACTGTAAAATAAATAAATAAATAAAAAGGTATGACTCTAATACCCGTGCTACCCAATCCCTTCAAGGTAATGCATCACAGTAATAAATCCATTAAATGCCGTGATTATTTCATTAAGTCTTAATAAAGCCAAGAAAAATATATTTTTGACTTTTCAAATGAAACCAGACTTTTCATGCTCTTTCAGCCTCGTACGAGAAGAAGCTGCAGCTCTTCCGTTCAGACATTAGCATACGATGCACCAATAAAAATGCAAATCGCCAACAGTATGAAAGCCACGCGGCCTCTCTTTGGGGTTTCTGTCATTGTTTACAAGGTTTGTCAGCTTGCAGCCGCAGCTCTATTATTTCAACTTTGAGGTATATAATGAAACAATAAAAATTCTAATAGCTGTAGTTATATAGGGGTGAGAACGGAGAGATGGGCTAAGTGGAAGACAGAGAAGGCCTGTTGTAATTTGCATGTTTTAACAGGATACTAGCTGACATTTAGCTATTTACCTTTCTCAGGGGATTAACCATGGATTAGGCTCTAATCCAGCATAAAATATTATGTATCTCATCACCACAGCACCCACTCTTTTAATTTGTTTCCAAAGTTTTGATTCCCTCCCAGGGAAAAGTAATCTAGCCAAGACATGAATGACAGCGGATCCACAGTAACAGCTGAGAAACAGACACTTCTTCAGTACTCTCTCTCTCTCTCTCTCTCCAAATGAATCTGTCTTTGTGCTTTTGGGGTTGTCTCAGGCAGATGAAGAGAATAGAACCTGTTGGAAGAAATGAAGCAACGGCATGGTGCAACCCAGGAGTAACAGGAGCCAGCTTTGGATGCCTCTGCTAAAGTGACCCATCCTTAATAGCCAGTTCTCCTCCTCTTCCTCTTCCTCCTCCTCCTCCTCTTCCTTTTCATCACCTGTCGCTCTGCACATCTCAGTTAGCCTTCTAGTCATCTCATTTCTGTCGTGCCACACCCCAAACAGCTCGGAGTTCTCTCCTCAAACTGCTCCACTAAATTGATATTGACAATTCAATTCCTCCGCCACAGGCCTTCAACCTGATTTTGCCCCGGCATTGTTGTAGCATTCTTTTGTGAGTAAAAACATGAAGAAAAAAAAGAAGCTATTTACAACTTCTCTACAGTGCAAAAACAGCCCCTTTTCATTTGTATAATTATGAAAGTCCTTCATTAATCTTTTGTTGTGTGTTCAGCTTTAAAGCAGATTGAGTTCACTGATTTACATGCCGCGCAAAGAGCACGTGTCTGAACGGTTAGTTCATGGCATTTTATGAAGAAAAGAGGCAAGCAAACTGAATTATTTATCCGATTTGGACATTGATCATAACGCTGTGCTTACGCTGACACAGATTCTCATTCGGCTTCTTTCATCCCGATTCGGAATTGCTTCCATTCTCACTCTTTGAAGACACCTCCAAGGCTGGTATCACGATGTAGCGACACAAGCCGCCGTAATCTTGTGGGTTTTTTTCTTCGTTTTTTTTATTAGGCTTTAAGGGAATGTACCGTAAAGTCTCGAGGAAAACCTTCTGCAATTTAAGAAGATTTTCAGAGAGCACAATAAATTACTGTGTCGTGCTTGTGATTACCGTGAGGCTGCTTTTTCCCCCGGCGGGAGCTCATACTTACAGCATATCTGATACAAAATGACTGCCAGGCTGACATGGTATTTACTGTGCTCCAAAAACATGAAAGACAAGTCAGTCAAGACGCACTTGAAAGCTTGTTGTTTACCGCAGAGTCCAGTCACAACAACTTAGATCAGCGCGGTGATTTTTTATTCATAATGCCGTAATGATCCGGACCAAAACTACTCGGTTCGATCTCTTCATCTGGGTCAGCCTCCTGTCTCTCTCTCTCCCCATCTCTGTCTGTATCTGTAATTCTTTTTATCTGACTGCCTGCCTCCTCCTTTCTCCTCTGCTTTGTCCATCCCATTCTTCCCGCCTGCATTGTTTTAAGCCTCCTTATCACCGCTGCCTTTCAACTAGAAACACAAATGAATATGCCTCATCGCCAAAACACAACCTGACACCTTTTGTGTGCTATCACATCCCTTCCTCGCTTGTTTTTTTTTATTTATTTTTTTATCATATTCATGCCATTGTTTTTTTTTTATTATTTTGACACAAAGCCAAAAGGAGAGACAGCCTTATTTGTCTCCTTCCTTTCTTCTTCAAACCGAGGTCTCTTTGTGTTTAATTACTGTCCCTGATAGCTGGGCTCTAATTAAAGCTTTGCATGTGACAAACAGCGCTAATAATGTCAGGCCACAAAGCAAAGCAGGACCACAAAGAACCGAGGGTCTCCGAGAAAAAAACAAACGTGCCTTGGGTGTGGTTTGACCTCACTGGAAAATTGCAGGATAGATTAGGAGTTCATAAAAGGGATATTGAAAGTAATAACATGCATTCGACCACCAAATGTCTTCTCACACATTCTGTAGCGATACAGCAATTCCGTGAGCTCGGGTAATGAAAGCTTTGGCGCCGAACACTTGTCTTTATTATCAGTTCATGATGGCCTGTGGTGGAATAGACACTTCAACTTGCACAAAAAAAAAAGTATTGTGTCATCTTCAGAAAATAATATAAAAACCTCAAAGGCATTATTTGACTTTCGAGCACTCGCATGGCAGTCAGCGCAGAAACATCACTCCAGTGGATGGTTGACAAAGTTACTTTTTCTTTTGCATAAAAGAGAATAAAGATCACACTGTACAGGCTGAATATCTGTGAATTTTCAACATTGACAAATTGATATTCAGCTAAACTTTACTGACACAGAAAGATTGTGCTTCTTTTATTACTTTTTTTTTCCTGTTTCAGTTCTCACAGGAAAAGTTTAGATAATCTTTAAGAAGACGTCTTGATCACAGTAGGGCCTTGACCTAAATGCTAACTCACTGACAGTGTTACATGCTGATACAAAGCAAACATAATCGTAGCATCTACCTAACATTTGCTGAGATATTTCACTTAAAATCAAATGAACCTCAAGAAGACATTAGACAAAAGGTCAGTGGCTCGCTAAAGTCATCGGGGCAGATCGTCTGTGAACCAAGAATGCCGGAAGGAAATTTTGGAAACAGATCAAATAGATGCAGAAATATCAACAAAGAACCACCGTGGAGGAAAACTTTTTGGTGTTCGTGCAAAAAGACAAGGATCGGGGGGATCATCAAAGCTCGGAGGATTAAACCTCATCTGTAGGTTGGACTTAAATGTTGTACCGACCAACATCTCTTGAGCCATGCAACAATAAAAAACATCACTCTGCACCGAACAGCCAAGAAGATTATAGTGACAGTTTATCGATTGGTCATTGATTAGTGAAATGCATTAGATCAATATGATATGGACCAGTCTTTTCGGACATAAATCTTCTTTTCTAACTTAAAAGTCAGCCTTTAAATTCCCCCTTAAGCAAGATCTGTCATAAATCTATAAACCACAATCATTCTCCAAAGAGATGCATATTTTATAATCCTTAATTTTCTGCATAAACATTCCAATCATTCAGTGCTCAGTTTCTACCCCAAGGCCTCATGATTTCAGGTAATATTAGAGAAGATTTGGAGAGCAAAGCTGCGGAACAAAAGACAGATTATCAACTGTATTCTATTAAGAAAACTTTGTAGAGATTTTGTAGCTGGAGTTGTTCGCTTGTTTGCTCGTTGCTACCTGCCTTCTGTGCTCTGTATTAACTGAGCTCTATCCACGCTTGTCATTCACGACACAGCTATTAATGGCCCAGCTGACAGCACGGTTTAATAGAAAGCTAGAACAAATTCATTAAGTTTCCAGGGGGAGTTTAAGATGAAGCGAATGCTCAGCCCAACAAAAGTGAGGTAGTAAGCCTGAGACCACTGAGACCAAGTCCATTACACCTGAACACGGCTACGAAATGATCTGCAAACACCAGAACCGTCTCAGTTCTGGACCTTTCAGCTGCTTCTTTGCATCTTAGCCTCACATGGATAAATAATTGTCAAAGGAACTATGAAGTATGAATGTGAGACTTCATAAAGATGGAGATTGGTGACCATCTAGAACTCACGCAAAACACAGTTGCAGTAATAATCAAGAGGTATAGAATGAGCCATAGTACCACTAATCAGAGCCCCAGTGGTTTTCTTCTTAAAATGAAACCATGGATGGTGAGCTATGGGTACAGTCTAGCTCTGGAAAACAGACGTGTAAGTGCTTCAGACTTTACTGTGGTTATCAATGGGAAATCAGAACTGACAACCTCTGATGATGGCATCCAACAGGATAAAACTTGCTTGCTCCTCGGCACCAAACAAAACTGCTAAAGAAAATGAAGAGAAGCCTGATGGATCTTTGGAGCACAACCTTTGTTGAGACCAGGATGAACTTGTTTGGCTCAGACGGGGTTCAGCATGTTGGCATGAATCTGGTCAGCGCTGCAACAGTGAGTCCTGACAGTGAAGCACAGAGGTGGCGGTGTGTTGATACGGGGCTGT